TTGCCATCTATAAATATTCATTTAAATGAATGCAACATTTTAGTCACAGTCACAGTACATGTGACCCCATGTGCAGCCCTATGTTGGTGCTTGCCCGACAGTATGTCCTTGTCCAAGTCAGCTTAAGTCTTTTAAAACCTCTCTGCATTCCCACTGCAGTAACCACTCTAAATAGCCGGAAATGAACACTTTGCTGTTTTTAACTGCCCCTAACGTCCTTTCAATTATGGCTGTACTTGTATGTTGTTTTAAATGTGTTTGTTTTTATGCCTGTCAAAGAAGAATTTCTGTCACTTGTGACAGACAATAAAGTTTATCTTATCTTATCTTATCTTATCTTATCTCTCATCTAGCACTTAGGTCAGAATTTCAGTTTTTCCAACATTTCTAGTTTATAATCAATATGCAAAAGCTATTGACATTCCCGTTAACCTCAGCTCAGGTGGTTCACTTTGTCTGTACACCCGAGTTATGTTTGGTGTCAATGCATTCTACAGTTTACTAACATGGGTTTCATTATTCAGTCTTATGTGACTGAAGTCACCCAGCAGTAGCCACACTTATTATGATGTTGCCTACATAACTACATGCTTTCTCACTGGACCATTAGCCCATGGGCTACATGTGACTAGGTGTTTTTGTTTTCTACTAAGATTCCTAGTTGCATAACTTATGTAATAATTAACCACTATACCCAGTATGAACCCACAGCACTAAACTCAGGGCACTGTGAGTCTTGGCTTTCACAGCTGAGGAATTTGCTGGGGTCTGGTGCATCCCCGTGCCTTGCTCTGTGCAGCTCTTAATACCTTTCCTCACAGCCTGCTAATGCTGTATTAACAGCATGCTAGTGGATAATCATGTTGGTGTGTGCACACGTCTGTTGCTTGCTATTCTTTTATTTTTCAGCACTGTTCTGTCTGTGGGGTTTGTTGAAGGCCCTGCCCCCACTGCCCTGCCTTAGGTGCTCCGCAAACATTTTTTGAGGGCGACTGAAAGTTAAAGTAGACACAATATCAGCTTGGGTACATTGATGTTTGGACTAATAACCTATTGGTGGAAAACTAATAAATGAGATAAAATGAAGGTTTCCTGACAACTAGTTGCTAACACTAAGATAATTATATGATCAGAATCTTTAAACCTTAGACAAGCAAGGGTAACACAACTAGAGCTGTAAAGACAGTTACTCTTGAATGCACATTGAAAAAAAAACAAAACAGGAGAGCAGCAGAATGCAAAAAAGTAAGAATGTTTGCTGATAATGTGCACGACATAGAAATGACAAACTTCTCATGTAACAGCAGAGGAAAGATAGGAGTGAAAATATGTTTTTCTCTTGCCATAGCATAATGAAATTCAATTTCCTGTTTTGACTTTATTACTGGGTGCCACAATAGCTCACCACGTTGAGCTGGCATCCCCTCACACCGGGCAACAGTCCCGATGTGGAGGTGGTGAGTTTGAATCCCACTCACGGCTGATGACATTAAGCCCTGTGATAGACTGGTGACCTGTCCAGGGTGTCCCCTGCCTTCACCCTAAGTCAGCTGGGATAGACTCCAGCCCCCCTGCGACCCTAATGAGGATTAAGCGGTGTATAGATAATGGATGGATGGACTTTATTACAACCATTTGTTTTCCATTCTCTGGCTGGATACAGTTAGCTCTTACTAAAATGAACCATGAACGTGAAATGGTTCTCACAGCTAAACTGCCCATTAGTTTGCAGTATGTTAAGATTTAGTATTCGGTATAAAAAGTAAACTAGGTGCCTTGCATTATAGAGAGGAGGTAGACATGATGAAACATACAGATCGGGAGAACAGAGCACTGTTTCAGACATTTCCTCCTTAAAAGCTTTCATTGCGTAAATTGACAAAAGCACTGCTGTGTAAAATTAACCAGACTCAGCATTCAAATTCTAATCTGGGTCAGGTGTGAGGAGTTTCACAACCTGTCTGACAGGGCTACAAGCACCTTTTATGAAGCATACCAATGCTCTTATATACTATCCACAAAGCATAATAAGAATCCTTGAAGCAAACAATACTCAAATATATACATTAAGTGACAAAATCAACTACTTAGAAATTAATGTTAAAATCATCTCTTTTCAAGACTGCACCTCTGAGTTTTCCATGTTTAGTAACTTCATTGATTCTGAGTTTCCTGTCCTGAAACCAGAGAACAGAAAGAGATAGAACTTAAATAGCAAGACGAAGAATGTAAAATGAATGTCTCTTGAAGCGATCTTTTTCAGAGACTGACTGGTTCCTCTTGATTATACAATTAGTGCTGCAGTAGCACAAATAGAGATTTGTATTTTAAGCTATCATGATTGTTCTATGTTTAGCACACAATCCTCTGGCATTCATCTTAACCTTTTCCACCTGAGCATTCCATTATCATGACAGTTTGACTGCTACTGAAGCATGACCAAGCACCATGGTCAAGGCTGTTCACTGACCTTACAGTTACGGAGCTACTGATTTAATTTAGATATATGTTTACAGGCAAAAAATGTCCTAGAGCTTGAAGGGTTAACATCAGTGTGCTTAACATGGTTTTGCTACATTTTTTTTGTGTGTGTGTTATATACTCCATACTCCCACAGGGGGAGATTCTCTTTGTGCATATCACAGGAAGCTGGTATCTGAGTGCAGGATCAGCCACACTAAGGCGCCCCTGGATCGAATTTGTGTGGTGTGATAAGATTTGGAAATGTTAAATGAGCATTACCAATACTGATGGCGATGAGAGTCACATTCTGACTTGTTTTTGGTTTTTGATCTCTGCCAGCTAACTGGATCTGCTTGACTTCAGTCTGTTTCTTGTCTTTCAGATCACACACTACAAACAGTATCCTCCAAATGTCAGCAAAATCTACTCATACTTTGAATGCAGGCGCAAAAAAGGTTCACAGTTCAGTGAAGTGGTGTTCTTTGGACTTCAGTATCTACTGAAAAAGTATCTCACAGGTATGTTTTCCATTTGTCTAAGGGAACCATATCCCTTAGATATAGAAAGATTTTATCTATATTGTGTGTGTGTGTGAGCTTGTTTACCTTTGATAACCCTGTGTGCATGGCCTCATTTCTTAATATGACTGAACACATAAGAGTATAGAGACTATTGGTAGAAGCAGTGCCTTGATAAATGCCTTTATAAAATTTATGCAACTCCTGCATCCAGCATTCCCGTGAACATGAAGGGTAAATATCTCATGCTCCATTAAAATAGCTGGAAGAATGAATAAAAACTTGCAGTATAAGAAAGGCAGCAAGCACCAAAGGTTTTTTGCTTGGCAAAGCAGCAAATGCGCTTGATGGCTGCCAGTAGTGACCTGTACTCTCAGGGAGAGTTCACACCTCAGAAATGGTAAAACAAACACCGTTAGAAACAAAACAGATGAGTCACATTTGCATATTTTCTTTTATCAAGACTGCTGAGAGTTTGCTGGCTTTTGAGTCAGTCCTGTGTGTTACTACATGTGGCTGAATTGTAGTAACTTAGTGTGTTTTCTGCAGGCCCAGTGATCACAGAGCAGAAGATTCAGGAAGCCAAGCTTTTCTACCAGATGCACTTTAAACAGGCTGTGTTCGATGAAGAGGGCTGGAGGAAGTTACTCGAGGTATACACAGAGATTTTTTGTCTGTTTGTCTGTCTAGATAGATGTGTTTATCATCATATATCTAAACTTAAGGAAATCTACTTGTTACATTGTTAGAAACATGATGGCCGCCTCCCTATCCGGATCAAAGCTGTTCCTGAGGGCAGAATCATACCGAGAGGCAATGTGCTCTTCACTGTGGAAAACACTGATCCCAACTTCTACTGGCTCACCAACTACGTTGAGGTAAATTCAGAAATGTGTTTTCAGTGTTTGATTTTTGTTCCAAGGCCAGAGGCATTATGTTTTTGGGTTGTCTGTTCATCCATTCCCATGAATGCAATATGTCTTAAATGCCAGAAGGGGGTTACCTTGGAGTTGACAGAAATATTCACTTGGAATCTTACATTTATTGTGACAAAATTTCACACCAATATCTAATAGGATGAAACAGCTGAAAACACCCATAACCTCTGTGGTATCTGGCATCAAGACTGAAGCAGCATATTGTTTAAAGGTCCCATATGGTGAAAACTGATGTTTATTCTGTTTTGTATGTTTTATAATCTTGGAGGTATAATTTAAAAGATGTGAAAATATAAAGATTCTTGCTAGTGCCATCCCTCTAGCCCCCTCCCAGCTTAACAAGCGAGACAAATTTTTTCAGCTTCTGTGGAGAAACTGGGTGACCATTAGTTGTCCAGCTGAAAATTTGCCTAATCCTGCCCCCTCACTGCCTGCTGCTTTGGAATGAGGCGCTCTTTCATGGTCTGTCAAGTTTATTTACTTGCTAGAGCTAATTCTTCTGCTAACTCTAAAATGCCTCATCCTCGAACAAAGCACGTCATAAACACAGGGGTCTTCATGCACTCTCAGTCCCTTCAGCTCTCACTCTTACATCATGTAAAACTTATCTCATCCAACTATACATTTAGGAAGTTAGTCCCTCGTTTGGGGGACTTTGTGACCAGAACATTAACACTGCAGAACTGCCATTTGAACTTCATTGTTATATGATTTGTTTCTCACTATCTTGTTCTTGTTTTCTCTTCACACCCACTCTATTTTCAACACCCCCTTTTTGCTGGCGATAGACCATGCTGCTCCAGATGTGGTATCCCATCACAGTAGCCACCATATCCAGGGAGTTTAAGAAGATCCTTGCCAAACACCTTAAGGCTACCTCAGGGAGTCTGGAAGGCCTGGACCTGAAATTGCATGACTTTGGATACAGAGGGGTGTCCTCACAGGAGGTCAGAAAGATTTTTTGTCTGTGCACTTTCTTCCTATTGATGTTGTATATTTAAACAGGTTAGAAGGTTAGAGCAATGATAATATTATTAGAGGAATCCACAGGTAAAGCTTTAAAGTTTTAAAGAGAATGGAAAACTTTTGAAGCTGTAATCTGGTGTCATGATTGTTAACTTAGGTTCAACTAAGGATGTTAAATATCTTGCCAGATTAGGTGTTGGAGCATTATAAATGAAAACACATATATGCTGATGCCCTCTACATAGATGCCAGTGATGACCATCTAACAGCAGTAATGAATCAAATAGCACTGTAGTAGAAAGCATCCTTTGGTTTAGGGGTAGTGGTAGCAACTTTAGAATACTGAGCCTATAAAAATATTCACACCCTTTTCAGCACCAAATCATGGTCAATATAATTTGGCTTTTTTTTTTTTTTGACAAGAATTGACTTTAAAGACTCTTTCATGTCAATGTGAAGACAGATTTCTACAAAACATGTCAATTAATCTAAAATATAAAATGTATAATACACGACTGCATACATAATAACCTCCTTCAAGTCACTACTTAGTAGATGCACCTTTGGCTGTAATTACAGCATTGAGCCTGTGTGGACAGGTTTCAATGAGGCTTTCACATGTGGACACTGCAATTTAACCCGATTGTTATTTGCAAAACTGCTCAAGCTCTGTCAGGTGGCACAGGGATCATGAGTGAACAGTTCTTTTTAAGTCTAGCCAGTGTGCAGTGTTTGATGTCATACTTGTTCTATTCACAGTCTGTCCAATCTCAGCCGCTCATTCAAAGGAGTCATAGGTGTCTCGGTGGCCCTCCTCACTTGTCTCTTACTTGCTTGGTCACTCGGTTTTTGAGGACAATTTGCTTAAGACAGATTCAGGGATCTGCCATATTCCTTCCATTTCTATTAATTAATTTAACTGTACCCTAAGGGATATTCAGTGACTTGGAAATGTCCTTGTATCCATTGTCTGGCTTGTGCTTTCCAATAACCTTTCACAGAGTTTCTTTGAATGTTCTTTAGTCTTCATGGTGTAGTTATAGTCATTAGTACTGATTCACCAGTGGCTTGACCTTTCAGGTACAGATGTCTTTATACTACCTGAAAACCTTTATACGACTCTCACCTGAGCCACATTTGCTGCACTCAGATGATCTCCATTTCACTACATGTGTGACTTGTAATCCCAATTTCTTGCACCTGTGTTAAATACAGTCAGCCACTTTAAAGAGGGTGAATACTTATGCAGTTACTTAAATGACGGTTTATGATAATTGACATTACTTAATCGGAATCTATTTTCACTTAGACATGAAATAGTCATTTTTTTGTAAATTCTTGTCAAAAAAGCCAAATTAAAATTAAATCAATAAAAAGGGGAAAGTTCTGAGGGGTGCAAATACTTTTATAGGTAGTGTAGATCTCTGGAATCTGATGTACACATTATGGTGAGTTCTGTGATGGTTTTTGTCTTTTCACATTAGAAATGAGATCTGTTTCAGTCATTGTAAGAATTCTGCCAAGAAGTTCAACATGAGTTTTGTATGACACTCTGCAGCCTAATCAGATTCTTAGGTATTTATAATCCTGGAGTGTCTCAGTCAGATCTCCATTTAGAGCATGGATAACTTTAAAAACATTAATGTTACACTCCTGTGGCGATTAGAACACATTTTTTGTCTTGGAAAAAGCTTGTAATCTGGGGCTTGGTTTGTGGTGGGACAATGTCATACTAAAGGCTAACATTAACAGAAAAAATGAACTAAGGAATTTCTACATAGTGTATATGGCAGTGTCATGCAGATGTTATTGAATTATTGCATGATATAATATGGTTCATGTCACTGGTTACAGGCACAGTGGCTAGTTTAAGAAGAGTAGAAGTCAAAGGGAGAGACTTACGTATAAAACTAGAATCTAAATTCAGTCATCTGTCTTTTATACATTCAAAACATGCAGCTGCTAAAACTTAATTCATTCTTGTATCCGTCTTACCTTTGTTTGATTTAATCTGTTGACAAATTTAGAAAATTTAAAATTCCACGATGGAAGACAATCCAATCTTAGACATTTAGTCGATGTGAAAAATCGTCACATAAACACAAACCTGCAACCTCACAGGAAAAAATCCTATTTATAGAACCCTCAGCCATAGGCAGCAAGTCATTTTTAAAAAACATTGACATCACTCTCAGTCAATCTCTTGCTGTTGGAATTGATAGTTTTGTCTTGTTATTTTCTGCCAATTCTTTCACTGTGATGATCCGTAGTACAATATTTTATGATCACATCTACACTCAGCTGTTATGTGTTTGTGTTGTATCAGAAAAAAACTCATTTGAACAGCAAAGTGATTGATGTGATTGATCTTTTCACCTCTGACCTCTAGTCTGCAGCATTAGGTGGAGCAGCTCATCTGGTTAATTTCTGCAGTACAGACACAGTCGCCGGGCTGCTGATGGCTCAACGATATTATGGCTGTCCAATGGCTGGCTTCTCCATTCCAGCAGCTGAGCACAGGTATCACACACGATGTATAAATAAACTAAACAGTGTATCAATACATGTAGTAAGTGGCAAAATCATAATTCGTTTAAAAAGATAGGTTTTCAGGTATCCAGGTTGTAGTAATCTTATTTGCTTCAGTAGAAAGCAGCTGGACTTCTTTTTGATTCTTGAAGACATTTTGTCTCTCATTCATCCTGAAGAGCTGCTGAGGCTCACAGTTACATCTCGAGGTGAATGGCTAATTCACATCATTACTTTAAAAGTTTACTGACTTCTTTTTGTGAACACTGTCACAGCTAATGGATATCAGATATACTTGTCTTTTTACCATTTAGCTCTGAGGAGGACTCTTGGATCAGAGGTAAAACATCTTTGGGAACAAAAAAAGAAGTCCAGTCCAGTTGTTTTCTATTGAAGCATATGCTATTGTTCCACTTTGTAACTTTAGAATTTATTTTGGCATTAAATATACAAGAAAATGTTGAGTTGAGAACTGTAAGGAAACTGTAACACTGTGACAAGTTGTGTTTTTAAATATTGAACCAGTATTACAATATGGAGCACTGTAAGACTGCTCACTGCTTTGTCTTATTTCCATTTTCCAGTACCATCATTTCATGGGGACGGAGCAGGGAGAAGGAGGCTTTTGAGCGAGTCCTAGACCAATTCTCCTCTGGGCCAGTGTCAGTGGTCAGTGACAGCTACGACATCTTTAACGCTTGTAAGCACATCTGGGGAGACAAGTTAAAGGAACGAGTCATGGAGCGCAGCCAGGACTCTTGTCTGGTCATCCGTCCTGACTCCGGAGACCCGGCAGAGACTCTTATTGAGGTAAATAGTATGACTAGATGAGTATAGCAATTTCTGCCTTTAATTTTTAATGTTTTGTCTGATTCTGATGTCATCTTGTTTGCTGTTTTAAATAATGAAATTTACATAAATCTACAAATTTTGAATATTTTTTTCATATTGGGAACTGGAAACCTCAAAATTGTGCTTTCCACAGTGCGTCACTGCACTTGTCATTTCTTTGAAACCCCTTCAGAAGAAAATCTATTTTTTTTAAAATGGTAAATGGTCTACACTTATATATGGCCTTTTTACCTTAGAGGTACTCAAAGTGCTTTATAATGTGTTTCTCATTCACCCATTCACACACAATCATACACCAATGGCGACAGAGCTGCCATGCAAGGTGCTGCCTGCCTTTGGGAGCAACTTCGGTTTCAGTGCGTTGCCCAAAGAACACTTTGGCATTTCTGTGGAGTGGGAGTTTCTGTATCATTACTCTTCTTCAGAGTTGGTTTCTTGTTCTAACACGTATGGCTGAATTAGTCCAGTATTACAGCTTACCATTGTGTAATGTACAGTAGTTTTACAGTGTTTGAGCAGAGGGTCCTGCAGTGTGGATTATTTTCCAAACCGTATAAGTATGCTATAGAGAGAGAGATAGGACTTTTGAGGTCTAATCAATGCCAGGAGAGGGAATTAAATAATGTTTTCTATTAGTGATAAGTGTGCAGTGCACATGAAAAGCAGTGACAACACCACAATGTAGGCACTACTTTGGTTACTCACATAAAAAAAATAACTTTTTATAACTCTGGTTAGTTCCTCAGGGCCCATTTTTCAAATACAAATTAAATATCAAAATGTTAGAAGTGAGGGCACAGCTCTCAGTTCTGCTGTTCACTGCCATTGTCAGTAAAAACCAATGGAAAGTTGTTTTTGCATAAATCACTGATATAAATAAAATCATTGATATTTCAACTTGTAGGTCATCAAGATTTTGGAGGAGTGTTTTGGCTGCTCTCTGAACTCTATGGGATTCAAGGTGCTGCCCTCTTACTTGCGAATCATCCAAGGAGATGGCATTGACCTCAGCTCAGTAGATGAGGTAAGAAACAATGTGGCTGCTGAACTAGTTTGATCTTAACTGTTGAAATCTTGTTTAGTACATTATGTTTTTGCATTGCTTCCTGTTGCGGGTGTAATTGTCCTGTCCCAGTCCTTGAATCATTTAATTAGGGAGGACATCACGCTGTCTGTTTCTGTCATTGTCTGACAGCCATTACATTTTGCTAAAATTTATTAGCACTGTACTGTCACAAACAGGGAGTGATCAGCAAAGCAGCTGATCAAACAACAAATAAAACAAGTCCATGACTCTTCCAAGTGCTTACATGCATTGGATACAGTCTATCACATAGCACTGAGGGTTGTTACAAATCTTAAACCTCCTGCTTTCCATTGCATGGTATATATTTGAGTTGGGTATGTTTCTTTGACCTCCAATAGACATCATCAATTGCATCCTGTTATTTATAAAGCTATTCTTGGTCTGTTTTCTTTATGTACATGTCTATATCGGCCACAGAAGTATGAGAAGCTGTTGTCTTTGCTCCCAGGACTTATTCCTGCTGTTTGTTCCCAGAGCCGAACTGAATTGGGGAAAAGGCCATCCTTGTACCTTGTCCCCTTTGCCTTAAATCAGAGAAAACTCTGACTCTGACTGTTGTCTGTGCTGATGCATTGAACAGCAGCCTGGAGTACTCGGCCTTCCTAAAGTCTTTGTGTGGTATCCTCGAAGCGATTCCACCTGGGGACTCCATAGATCTTCTAGTGTACTACGACTCTCACGTGGGCAGTGATGGACAAATGAGGAGGGTGGTGTTTGGTAGGAATGGCCTGTCTGACCTGAACCATAGTGGTGTTTTGTTTTTGGACTTATGTAATTGCTGTGGATTGGACATATGAAAGACCTTATGTTTGGGCATAAGGTCTTTCATATGTGTCCTCTTTACCAGAGTACTTTAGGCCGAAGGTCAGTGATAGACTTTGTGGTCACATCATCGGACCTGCAGCCATATGTCTCAGACATTCTGGTGAAGAGAGGATTAGAGCTGTCAACTGATCAGCACCTGGTGGTGAGTCGCATCAGAAAGACTTGCTGGACAGACCTGGTAAACCCAAACGTGTAGAAAGGGTGAACTGGGACCATCTGCCAGAGGCCTTTGTCTGTGAGGTCTCCATTGCAGAGCAGGCTGTTAAAAACGGCAGTCAGAAGGTGTGCATTAGTAGATACAAACAATAAAGGAAGCTGTTAGGTTGAAGAAGGATGCTAATTGAGCTCGGTTAGCTCAGAGGTCTACTGAAGCAGCAAACAGGTACTGAGTGGCCATAAGGGTTTCAGCTGCAGCAATTGCAGAAGCAAAAACTCGGGCATGGAAGTAGCTGGAGAAGACTACAGAGAAGGACTTTTAGTTGGCCTAAGATGTTCTAGCCAACCAATCAACACCTAGGCTATGTTTAGCTGAGAGGGAACTGCTTACCTGGACTGGGGACATTGTTGAGTAGTGGCTGTGGCACTTAGAGGAGCTCCTGAACTGAGCCAACACTTCTAATGAGGTGTCTCAAGGGAAGCCTCACCCATATCCATGATGGGCGTCGCTAAGGGACTTAATTAGCCTGCCTTTGGCCAATGACTTCATTTGGTTTTCCCCTGCTTCCACTATCTGTGTGTTAACATTTTCTTCGCCCAGGAAACAGCAACCTCCAGCCAGCAGCCTACCACACTGAAAATGAAACTGAAAGTTTTGATGTGGAATTGGATCATGCAGTAAGGCAGTTCTGCCATTTTTTTTTTCAGTGGATTATCTATTTTAGTCACAGTGCTCCTCTCCCTGCGTGTAAATGTGTCGCTACAAGAATTCCACCTGTCACTATTTTGAGTGCACACCAAAGCTGCATACTTTGCTTTTCCCCACCTACAATGACTGATTGTTTTAAGGAATATGGACAATCTAGAGTGCTTTTTTTCCCCCTGTAGCTGAATAATAGTGTGATGTGGCCAGATCACTGTGTTGTACAGAATGGGCTGGCTAAGGGAGACTAGTCTATCTGTGGTTCCCTGTTAGTTTAGTGCAGTTTGAGCAATGTTTTTAAAAACAATGTAAGAAGCACATTTGAAGTTATTTAAATAAATCAGGAGCTGCATACAAACTATTCCCAGCTTCTCCATGGTGCCCCTCCAGCTTGTGGTGAATTAGACTTCTTATTACAGTCATGTGAAAAAATGAGTACATCCAATGGAAAGTGTTTGCTTTTTTAATAAATGCTGATATATAGTAAAATGAAGGTTTGCTTTTAACGTCAGCTAATTAAAAAAATGGTTTTCAGTTCACTTACTAATGCGGTTTCACTCTCGTCTCAGAATACTGTGAAATGCTCTTTCTGTATAGTTATTCAGTTTCTTACACTGTTGCCACCGCAGCTATTACTGCACTGAGCTCTTAGTCTTGATCAAACAGGAGAGGGTGTTCCTCTGCTTCAGTATGGAATAAAAACCATTATGGTGTCCGTCTTATGTGTTTTAAACTTTCCTTTTTCTGTTGTTTGTAGATTCTCCAGAAGCTGAGCGATGAAGACTGGAGTGCTGAGAACGTCTTCTTTGGTTGTGGCAGTGCGTTGCTTCAGAAACTCAACAGAGATACACTCAGCTGTGCCTTCAAGTGCAGCTATGTGGAGTCCAATGGCAAGGGGGTGAGTGTAAAGATTCTGGTTTGATTTGGATGCTGTTACATTACATTGCTAAAGAGATTTTTAAGATGAATGCTGGTAAATACGACTTGTTGGAAATATTCATACAAACCTTACTAAATTAAGGCTTAAAACAGAAATGATCAGGATAAGCAACATCAGCAATCTGACAATTGGGCCAATTTAAACAAATCCACAGTTAATTAATCTCAAGATGAAATATAAAGAATTCACAATTTATAGCTGCTTACTGTTATTTATACTTTTTTAGTAAAATTAATGTTGCACTGCAGATTAAGCTCCCTCTCGTCATAATATACACTGCATTTATTACATTCTTCCATAATTCTTTTCAGTTCAAACAAGTTCAAGTTCAAACATACACTCTGTAGTGTAATTATACAAATACAGTAGAAATGGAATCAAAGGCAAGAAATGGAACCTGTGAATACTAAGAACAGAGAATAATAAACTGCTAAAAGAGCTGGTTTGTCTTTCCATCAGAGGAAGTTGAACTGAGGATATCCTCCATTTAGTCTCTGAACGAAAATTCAGAATTTTACTTAAAGTCACTTTTTTAAAATGATTTTATTTAACCTTTATTTAACCAGGAAAAAGCTCATTGAGATTAAAAATCTCTTTTACAAGAGTGTCCTGGCCAAGACAGGCAGCAGCACAACTGACAGACAGACACAAGGTCACAACAGCATCCACACAGACATCATACTCTTAATACACGGTGAGATTAAATAATGAACATACGAATGTCAGTACAGATCGGAAACATAACTAGCAAAATAATCATCTGTCGAAACATCTACAGACTGATGATTTGCCTCCAAGTCATTTAGGAACACTTTAAATGTGTTTAAAGAGACCAGCTCTTGAAGTTTCAGGTCTTTTTGCAATGTGTTCCAGGTAGAGGGAGCAGCGAATGTACAAGCTTTCTTTCCCCGTTCAGTTTCAGCCTCAGGAACAGACAGTAGCAACAGATCCTGGGACCGCAGACTGTAACCACTAGGAGCTTTTGTACAAGTAAAAACCTGTAAATAACTGGGAAGCAAGCCTAAAATACCTTTTATACATTAAAATATGCCAGTGTTTTTTCCTTCATGTGGACAAATCTGACCATCCAACATGAGAATACAACAAACAATGGTGTGTAAAAGACTTAAATAATAAACAATAATAAATAAAATAAACCTTAAAGAACCGTGACACACTGAATCTAAAACACTCAGGCTTTGAGCGGAAGCATTCATGTATACCGTATCTCCATAGTCCAACACAGACATAAAAGTGGTGACAAAAAGTCTCTTTTTGGCCTCAAAGGACAGGCCAGACTTGCTTCTAAAATAAAAACCCGGTTTCAATTTTAGTCTCTTTGCCAGCTGCTGGATATGAGGCATGAAAGAGAGACAGCCATCGATTACAATTCCAAGGTATCTGTACTGAGACTCTGTTTCAATCTGTATACCCTGAGCAGAGGTGATTGCAAGCAGGGTCAGTGGTTTTGACTTGGAATTCCTCACTAAACCTAAACTGCAAATGACACATGATCCGTTTAAACTTTGATATATATATATATATATATATATATAGCGCTTCACACAAAAATGGATTTTGCATCTGGCTTTGTCACCTTCCTTTATTTTGAAATAAATACAACAGAAACATCAGCAAGTATCAGGTGGGAAGCTTTTAAATCACTTAGCTGAGGACACATATTTACCATCACATGTTCTAAAGCAAAACAGATCTACCACAAGCAAAATTGCTTGAAGCGAAATTAACGGCATTAGAAAATTAATCTTTTAGGAAATTCTGTGAAACCTTTACACTTTAGTGGAAGCTCAACATATAAGAAAGCCACACTTTTTTAGATGGACTGCATATGTCCACTGTATCAGAAATACTCAGGGATGACTTAGATCACCAGGGCCAGACAGCTCTACCACTGAAATCTACAAAAAGTAAAATAGACTCAAGAAACCACTGCTTAAAACGTGTAAAAAGAATCCACTAGCAGTAGAATCCTTCTGTGCTCAGAGGAGCATTGACTACCTTGCTCCCAAGAGCTTGTAAACCAAATAATAAATATGAGAACTTGAGGCCAACAAGTTTCTCAAATACAGATGTAAAGGTTCTGTGCAAGATTCTAGCAAGTATGGGTTGAAGGAATAATAACAAAGATTATTTGAAAAGATCAGAACAGCTTTATTCATGCCAGGCAGGGCTTCCATAACATCAGAAGGCTTTTGAATATTATTCATAACCAAAAGGGGGCTCCACATACTGCCTTATGGTTACTGGATGTTGAAAAAGCCTTTGACAGAGTAAAGTAGTTTCCTAGTGTTGGTCTAGGGATAGAATTTCTGTAAATGGATCATATTGGTCTACACAGAACCACACACAGAAATACTGACTATTAGCGACATCTCAAAAACCATGAAGATAAAAAACTAATAAACTATTTGCAAGTGCATTAAGGGCCAACAATATTATCTCAGGAATCCCCATAGGACAACAGGAGCACCGTCTGGCTTTATATGCAGATGATTTAGTTGTTTTTCTCAAACATATAGAAAAATCTATTCCTGCTTTGCTAGATCAAATTAAGATATTTGGAAAGATCCCAGGCTATAAATTAAACAAATGTAAAGCTTCTGTTATGCTGCTAAGCCAAGCAGAAAGGAAAAACACACTTCATCATGGGTATTCAAAGTGTACACAGTCAAAAAAAGAAAAAGTTAAAAAAAAAACATCCATGAATGTGAACCTTAAAAATGGTTTATTGTATGTGTTATGTGCACAGAGTCATCCTTACTGAGACTGGTTTTCTATCTTCTTCCAGATGGATGTGTGCAAGCAGCCGGTGACTGACCCATCCAAGGGGTCAAAGAGAGGCAGATTGTCACTGAGGAGAAACTCTGATGGCTTCTTGGAGACAGTAGAGAGAGGAGCTGGCAAGCCAGAGGAGGTCAGTCAAGGCATTTCATTTTGAACTCTCGCTGACATCAAATTCAGGTTAATGTACTGTATATTGTTTGTTTGTTCTAAAAAGAGACTATGTTATTAAAATTAGTTTTCAGAAAACCATTTTTGTAGATTACGCAGCACACGACTTGGAAGTACTGTGCCACAGTGTCTTCATTCATTTCCTACTACCTATTACTACCAAAATCGAAGGAACTCTTCGTTAAGATCAGTTCTTTACACTTCTCATGTCTTCAGATGTCACACTGCTGCTTAGAAAAGGTTCGGTCAGTACCTTAGTGCACATTTTATTCTACTACTTTCACTGTTTTTGCAGGAATTCAGTTATTTATAATTAGTCTTGTTGATCTGCAGAGTATCAATGCCTGATTTTTAGCTGCTTGCCGTAATGTTAACATTAACGTTATTAGTGTGAAGGTTGCGTTTGCAAGTAATATTTTACACATTGGTAAGTTACCTAAAAAGATAAAAGTAATAAAAACACACCACATTTGTTTGACTTGTGGGCTGCAGGGTAGCGCAGTTGGTAGCACTGTTGCCTCGCAGCAAGAAGGTTGCCGGTTTGCGTCCCGGTGGGGGCACCGGAATCTTTCTGTGTGGAGTTTACATGTTCTTAGCGTGGGTTCTCTCCACAGTCCAAAAACATGTTGAGGTTAATTGGTGACTCTAAATTGTCCGTAGGTGTGAACGTGAGTGTGCTTGGTTGTCTGTCTCTAAGTGTAGCCCTGTGATAGACTGGTGACCTGTCCAGGGTGTCCCACGCCTTCGCCCTAAGTCAGCGGGGATAGACTCCAGATGTAAAAGCGGTGTATAGATAATGGATGGATGGATGGATGTTTGACTTGTAGTCAGGAGCATGATTTATATTAGTTCTCTGTCATTTCTCTCTGTCTCTCTTTGAATCCTTTGAACAAATTGGCAGGTCTGTCAGCAAAAGTTGGCTGTGTTGGCTCTAGGGCTGCAAAGCAAAACATCTTTTACAGACAGGCTTTTTATTATTCGTAGTCTCGCCCTGACTGTTGGCTGTAAACAGCATAATGCCATATTTTGTATTGTGCATCTATTTTGTGGATCACTTCTTGGGAAACTCGCCGGCTGTGCCTTCCGTTTTGTCCCAAATGAAAGATGAAGTGTGTTGTTGAGAAAAGCAAACAGTGATTGGTACGCCTAATATGCCTGCAGACGGAGGAAGCAGAGTGCTCCACTCACCACTCTCCCGCTGTTGCACATTAAGGCAACTCACAAGAAATGTACTTCAGTTGAAACACACTAATACAATGGGAAGAGTCTTGTTTTCAACAGCAGGATATCCTGATACTTTTGATCAGTCCAATGGTGCTCCTCTAATTGGACCTGTGCTGCTTCCTGCTTCCCACTCCTCCATCCTTGCTCTGTCTTGTTTCCAGCCATGTTCACCTGTTGGTTTAGATTTTAGAGGTTTTATCAAATAATTTTTATTGCTAGGCTGACTATCAAATATTCCAAACCTTAGAGGCTGTAATGCAGAAAAGAACTGCTGAGTAGCCTAAAATAAAACTATTTAACCTATTAACAGTTAAAGGTGACAATGTTTTTAAAACACTTTCCAAAAGTTTGCCATTAACTTTTCAACCTGTTTTGCTCTCAGCCTGAATGGTCAAACCTGCAGAGTGCCTCCAACATTGAAACTCTAACATCAACAATAGCTTTTATTTAATTCAAAGTACAGATCATTTAAGCTTGCCAAGCAGCTGCTCCCATCTCACTCCTCTCTGATGTTTCTGTGTCTGTACTACTGTCCTAATCATCCAATGCAGACGGTTCAAAAATGTGTTGTCTTGTTTTTAACTGTTGGAGACTTGCACTTGTTACATACATGTTGTTGTGGTAACTGCTAATGGTCAGTCTGCTACATTACCTATAATGCAACCAGACAGCATCTTTCATTGGACCCTTTCTGTCTCATGAAAGCTCATACATCCATTTTGTAATAAAAGCAATTTTATTATCTATAGCAAAGTGCCTCTAGAGCCACTGGATACATAGTACAACTGCCATCAAGAGTACACAATTTAACAATATGTAGAAGCCAAGGAGAAAACGGAAGCATGTTTCAGTCTAAATACACAATGTTCTGTGATCCTATGTATTAAATTGGGCACTGTATGAATTTGCTGGGTGCACAGTGAGTACTGTTGCCATCAGACTCCCTCCTCCTGTATCTGATGATTTATCTGTGTGTGCTTTGCGATCTTCAGGACCTGCTGGTGACTGTTTTTGAGAATGGCAGCCTGGTGCAGGACTACTCCTTGGAGGAGATCAGGAAAAATGCTAGACTGCGGGACGAGGAGCTGAATCCCACCCTGCACAATCAGGAACAGGAGCTGCTACACAATCGCATCATCAACGGGATTCATTAGAACCACAAAACCTGTCACATCCATAGGATGCTGTGGTTGTGTTGGAATGAAGACTATATAGTCTTAGAAGGCAGCCGTCACAGTAGAAACTAAACATGTTGAAGGGGAGTGAGAAGCTGTTTCTCCTAACGGTCACCACCAAGCATGAACATCCCATCACCACCACAACCATAATCCAAGGAGACCAATGATAACACTTTCTTCAGGTAGACCAGTCTCTTTCACTCTGGCACAACCGATGAGACAGCATACTGGTGTTGCAGGACAGCTGCTGTGTGCGCCTGTGTCGCCACACTTGCACTGTCCTGTCATCCCACGACCAGAACTAAAGCTCAGGGTCACATATGGTATTTAGATTTTTTCTTCTTTCCTTTCAAACTCTTTGAGTTTGGGCTTGTTTCCAACACTAGAGCCGAAATATTTAAGTGTAAGACTTTTTCCTACTGATATGCAGCATTTTCAGGACAAAAATGTCATCAGCTTCCAAATATTTCAAGTTTCCGTCAGATTTCTTTTCTTCAGTGTTCATATTAGAGTTAAAAATTCTTTAAGCAGCATTTTAGACTGCAAGACACAGTCATTTACTATGACAAAAGAAAAACATGAATCATATTATGGGTTATAGTCGTAGTGCTACATCATCAGGAAGGGTTACACTGAGTGCTTAATACATGATATTTCATGTAAGTCGATGTTTGCCTACTTTCTGCCGTTTTCTCTCTTTGTTTTTTCCAAGTTCACAGCAATTTGGTTTGTGTGATCCAGATCCAAAAAAACACACTTCAGCTTTCACAACACTGAAGAGTACTGCAAAAAAAACATAAAGCACGTAATGCTGCATGGCCATATTTTTAACAAAAAAACAAAGCAGTTGTCATGGTGCTGGCCCACAGGGCAGCAGGTGTTTGATATTTATGAATATACAATGGACAGATAGTCATAGGAATACACTGTGTCAAATATTTAAATAAACCAACAACTTGTGAATTAACTGGAAGAAATGACTGAAACTTGCTTAATGAATGTGAAATATGCATTTTTAGAATACATGATCAAATTCAGGGTTTTATAGGAGTTTTTATTTCATTATAGACATTTGTAACTTCATCGTGGCACTTTTTATGACAGTGCTGTTGTCAGTCGTCACCTACCTGCTACCTCTTATGTTAGCAAGCTCCTGTCAGCTAAAGCAGCAAGAATCAAAGTTATTCTGAACTGCCAAGCTGTAAATTCACACAGAAACAGTAACTACAGATCTAAGTGTTGATAGATTAGTTTAACAAGACTGCTAAAGGGTGTGGATTATTACTGGCTAGAGCAACCACAGGAAATAAAGCACCGTAGTTCCTGTGTTTAGATTTTTTTCACAGCAGAAGTCAAGACAGTTCATTCATATTGAATCTAACATTGCCATTGCTCGTGCTAACAGGAGGTAAAAAGCTTAATCTGTGAGCATTTGTTGAGCAAGCTGGCTTAAAAGACTGAGACTATGCTTGGCTGAAAGTTGACACCATCACTGTCATGAAAGGAGGCGTTCAGAAACAAGAAGTGACAGTGTGGAATAAAACATCAACATGAGCTTTAAAGTCTTTCCCAAGTTATTGTTCCATTTATGTGTTTTGCACAATTGCTTCCTGTGACCATTCATTCTCTGCATTCATTCAGTGACTACGTCCATGTGCAGTTTCACTTAAATGTCTTGTCAGCATGGAGGATACTAGTGTTGCACAAATATCTGGTCACATGTTCTGTCATTCTTCAGTGATTTATCTTTTTCAGCTGCTGTTTGCTGGAGGGGTTGTGTTGCGCTACTTTTCTCTGTAAAATATCCTAAAAGTATTCTATTTGATTCAAATCTGACAGCATACTTGGCCATGTCACAATTTTCATTTTTTTCTTAATTAGAAACTGTTGTGTGATTTTGGCAGTGTGCTTTGGAATTTGTCATGCTGGAACATTACTCTACTGCCAAGCTCTTGCAGACTGGGAGTCATCTGGTCAGCCAGGATGTTTTTGTTCATTCAAGGTGCATCCATAGATGTCTCTATATGTCATCTCTCCATCAGCTTTTTCACTCATGCAGCCCCATATCATCACACTACCACCTCCATGATGTTGGAAATATGCATTCACTGTGGAAGTCCTGGCCAGGTTCTTTTCCAACAGCTGGACCCGATTTTAGCCAAACAAATCTTGGTCTCATCTGACTATCATCTGATCATCTGCTCCCAATATTAATAAGACTTCTTTTCATGTTTGTAGCTAAGTGTCGCCTTACAGTTTTGTCCCAAAGAAATTTTTTTTTTCTCCTTGGACGCCATCAGTAGCATTTGATGTTATGTTTTGTCCTTTATCATGTTGAGCAGTCACAGAAACTCCTAATATCCATTAAATACCCCTCTTTAAAGTGTTAACCATCTGCCCATCTGTTTTTCAGGGCGACGTTGTGAAAATAGCACACTGTCCATGCCATCATTTTAGGATGGTCTCTGTGACTTTTATTAGTTGTCTCATGGTTTATTTTATACCACCTACTTACTACTGCAACTGTGTTTTGACTGATCTTTTGTTCAATGCTCCTATAATCGTTTCTGTTGTTGTGAAGTCTCACAGTCAGATTTTTCATCCCATACATGTACCTATAAACTGAGGAAGCTCTGATGTTCGCTGCTCATGTTATGTAGATGGGCATGCAGTCAGGCTGACATCACATGTGTTTGTAATTTGGTTTCAGTGATCAGGGGTTTTCTAACTTGTGAGTAATCACAGGTGTGTTCATTTATTTGAGTTTCTGTGTGGGAAGTGTGTATTTTCAAGATAGTCTTCCTCAAGAATTTGTTTTCAGTCGTTCAGAAGAGGAAATCATCAGGGATTTTTATGACATTGCACAGTAGTGTACTCACTTCTGGTGTGCACTGTAGCTGCATGTTCATTTCTTTGATTTTAGACACTTTAACACTCCTTTGCATCATCAGGTCTTCTGATCAATTCTGCTGTATCCAAATTGTGAGTTTGATTTCACTGCTCTCTGTTTTTATCTTGTATTCCCATTTAAACACTTAAACTGCCACATTTCTTAATTTATTCTGTTTTGATAAGATTCAACAAGATGCAGGTATTGATCAGGGATTATAATAACCAGAACTAATGGTCTGACTTGACCAATCTACGTACCTGAAAGTAAACGTGCCTCAGCTGTCACCTGTAGGGACAGAAAGGTATCTGTAGGTAGATACTGATGGTAGGAAGACACCATGTGGTGTATTGTAGGTGCTGCTTTGCTTTTAATGGCCTTTTGACTTTTGTTTGGTTTCCATAAAAACAGTTTTGCTGCTCTAAAGACACATAGCACAGTAAAGGCACATCAAACTCTGCTCACACACAATGTATGCCTCCTCTGTCACTTGTAATGTCAGTGTTGTCAAATGTGCTGTAGGACCATAAAGGTCTGTGTTATCTTTTATGTGATTATGACAAAATTGTGATATGGGGATGTGATGGCTTTCAGTTCTCACATCTAAATAAATGAAGTAACATCTAACTACAGCCTGTCAGAGACTACCGTTTGGATTTTATTAAAGTTTAGGATTTTATTCTTGTAAAATACATAAAGAACATTTGAATAACATTTTTGTTTTTAATCGTAGTTTCATCATGTAATCTGTAATATTGTAGTAGGTAAAATGACACAAAGACAATTTGTCTTTGACATTTCAAACCAAAAGAGAAGAATAAATTAAAAACAAAACAAAGCACTGTTTTTACACACTTTTTACTTTTTGTTTTGTTTTTAACATCCTTTGCTGTCCGGCAGTGTCGATTTTTGACTAATGACTTATTTTGGTTGAGCAGATAAACCCTGGAAGGCAGACAGGACAATAAACTGCCATCACTTATAGTAATGTAGGCTTGTTATTGTGCACTGCCCAGGCATTGCAAATGACTGCATTGTGCAGTACAATACACTGAATAATGTCATGTGGTATTAGCGTTTATTAAGTAACAAATTATCTGTTTGAGATCTCTTAGTTCAGTAATACAGGTCAAGAGCAGGTTGAGTACAACCTGTTCAAAGTTTGATTTGATTGGCAGATGAACCTTGGATTGACTTGAGAACAGTCTGATGCACAGCATGTCACCAGTTACTTCATGATGAAGTTCCATCGTAACTCTTTATGTGCCAACATTTCTTCCACCGACCTTGTGCACAATGGGCAGTACCACTTTGGCACAAGTAGATTTCTATATAAATGTCTGTATCTACATGTAAACTGTGTTTAGAGGATTCAGACTGGTGTAGAGCCAGTCTTCTTATCAGCTGTCCTAACCAAAGTAATATTAGTGGGCAGGTAACAGCATAGAAAATGTTAACTTCTTTAACAGAAACCAGCCAGTGGAAGTATGGGAAATGTTTGATTAAAGGCAACTTTAGGTGATTGGCTGAGTGACTTCAGTCAGTCAGGGCAGATGGGCAGTCACATGAAAACACCAGCTAGTCATGCCTGAGGGTTTAAACTCTATAATAACCTGCAGGCCTGTGTTCAGGATGAGTTTACCTGATCCTTCGAAGTATCGATATGCATTAAATACATGTGAATTTGTTAGACTGGTGAGTGCCAATTCATTTTAAGTATGGTTTATTCTTACTCTCTTTCATGCCTCTTTATTTTCTGTTAACATGGTTGTCTTTTTTTTTTTTTTTGTAATTTTTATTTTTTATCCTAAGCAACATATTCTGTAGTAATTGGCTGAGTTTCAGACTGCAGGTCAGAGCTGTTTGATTTCCACTCTATACACATGAGTGATGGAGTAGGGATACAGTTTGCCTCCAACAGTGGAAACACGATTGTCTCCTCTGTGCCAGTACCAGCATTAATAATACATGTAATTATGTTGTTGCTTTTAACTGATCTGTATCTTTGTAATCCTCTGTTTGTAATTTCATGTGTTTTAAAAACTGACTTTTTAGAAGATTAAAGAAAATCTGAAATTTTTTCATAGTTGGCTGTTCTTTCCTCTACTCCACTGAAAACAAAGCTTTCAACGGCACTAGAGAGCGAGGCAATGTTATCCCACTGAGCGACCACAGCAGGAGTTTCACTGCCTCTGACCACAGCGTCAGCCTCACTGGTGGGCGTGCTCTATTGCAGCTGTAACCACACACAACAGGGATGTCATGGGTAGTGGTCCACTGATTTGTTTTTTTTTAAAAATATAATCATGTAATAACATTGACTGTGTTTGCTTAAGTAGATCTGCACTCTGTCTGCAGTGCACAAATCAAAAAATCTACCAACCAAACCACAAGTAATGGAAAAACTAAACTTTCTTAACTCTTAGTAAGGGAAAAATATCAAAATCTGCCAACTAAATCGTTACCAAACAACGTCTTCACCAATATGTTTGTAAAGGTGTGTAATAACATGCTTTAAAATGTTGAAGTTCAACTCTCGTGGGAAACCCTGAAAAACACCTGCTCAAGTTAGAGTACCAATAAATGATTGACGAAAAATCAATTATTTAAAAAATTGGGCCTTAAGTAACTTATGAGCGGTCAAATCAGGGTTTGTTCATGATTCTGAGTTGACTGTTAGCATTTATATTTCACCACAAACACTTCTTTGTTGAAAAAGACCACACTGGAGGCAACAGTGCTAATCACCGAGACACCTCACAGCCCTAAATACTGAATATAAATCAGTAAATTAGTTTTGTTTTCGTGCTACAATGCAAATAACTACGTGGTGGGACTGGGTTCCTGGAGTTACTTTTTAGAGTGTACATGCATGTTCAGTTTACACACACTGTGTAGCAAATAGAAATAATGTTGGTAATCCTAACTGACCTAAAACAGGAAAAGTTTAGTCTGGTTTAATGTCAGACAGTGAGTGTCTTTTTATAAAGTGTGTGTAAACTTCTGGTTTCAACAGGGCGGGTACACAGCGCTGTTACTGAACCTGTGCTGAAATTTCTCAACTACAACTCTGCCAAAATAAATGCTGCATCCGTTTTAATCAGATCACCAACAGGCAGCCTCTTCCATGAATGTGTCACACTTACAGACTTCAGAAGTTGCATTTTTATACATGGTGCAGGGCCATCTAAGGTTCAAGGGTTAATATTGAGGTTATAGTTTGCTGTGGTGATAAACTGGACTAGAAACACTTCTGATGCTGAGTGTAATATCAGAATCACATTCCAGCTTAATGCGGTGCAGTACAGCCCTCCCACCGGCTACCACCTCAGTCATGAACAAAGCCAATGAAACAATTA